AAAGTCATGGAATACGAACAGTCAGAAGATTAGTTTCAGACCAATAATGGGAACAACAACAGTAGTTAAACAGTTTTTCTCATGAAACACGATTACAAAATATTTCCCCATGCTGGTTCGCACAGACTTTGGATATTCATTTGTACAGTATTTTTTTTTTTCCCCCGGGCGTCACACAAATTAGATTGGGAACTTGAAGAATTTTAGTCACATTTTGAATACATGCTTAATTGTTGTGTGCTGTATGGCGGGTTTTAAAAGTTCAAATGTCACAATGATAACTAATGACAATTCACATTGCTCAATTTATTTCTTCTTGACTTTGTAATCCATAGAAAGTTGATTGATTTTCGAAATTCAAATTAAAACAAGTTAAATATTTTTGTGCATGAGATCTTAATAAACTATTACAATAAATAACCCCCCTCTATGAACCTCTTGTTAAACACGCACTCTTAATTGTCAAGATTGTTCTTCATATTAGAATCTATGATTTTCGCACATCCTCATGAGGATGGAATTTTAGTTTTCTAAATTGCCTCTTTCACCTTGATGTGAGACCTTCTTCTGATAGAAGCTTTTCTATTAAATTTGCTTATAAAATCTTGATATCACAAAAGGACCAAGTTAATATTGATATCTGGTTTAGAGCTTGGAAGTAATCTATTTATGAGAAAATCAAGTACTTTCTTTAAAAAACTACTTGGGATAAATTCCAAATGAATTTCATAGATATCAAAGGAAGTATTCCTCTTCAATGAACTTGCACTTTTGGTTGCAACTTTCTTGATTCTTCAATTCATATTCTGTGAGATAGCAAAGAAGCTCGTGATTTTTGGCTTAATAAACTTGTTAAACCTCTCAAACTTAATACCTTCTTCTCTTTATTTGTACAAGATTGGGTAAGTTAGAATGTGAAAATCAAGGTTGGAAACCTAAACATAAGAAGAATTCCATGATAAAGGCTTTTTATTCATGTTTGCTAGAACATTTAAAAGGTGTAATGCAAAAATATTTATTTTGAAGAGAACAACTAGGCCCTAGACATTGCATTTTCTAGAACCCAACAAGTTATCAATGATGTGAGGATTCAATCAAGACTAAGTATCCTTAGTAGTGACAATGAAAGATCCAAGGCCAAATAGAGACCTTTAGTAGGTTGGGTTTGACTTGATAGTATTTTATCAAATTCAATAGAGTTGTAACTTGTGGTAGCATCATATCATATGATAAAAGAAATTGGATTATGAGATTCTCAAAATATCTTAACTACCAACCCAATGCTGTAGTGGAACTTTTGGACATTTTAAAAGGGCTTCATTTTTGTTTGAATGTGCAATTCACTAAAATCAATATCTATTATGATTTTATGGAAGCTCTCTTGCTTATTCAACGTAATTTCTCTGATGGTTACATTCTTTCAAAAATTATCAAGAAAGTCAGATATTTTTCTATCAAAGAATAGACTATCACCTTTGATTATATGTTTAGAGAACCTAATAAATACATTGACATACTTGCTTATTACGCCTCTCAAAACAATTTAGATCTTGTTATTTTTAACCATCCATCCTTTATAATATAGATTTTTCATGGAATCTAACATGACATGATGTTTTTTATCTCTCCGATGCAGAATTTCCGTGGCCTTATATTAAAAAAAAAAAAGCACTACTAACTACGCATTAACAAGGCCATGGTAACGCTTAAACCATTAAGGCCGTCACCTAGGACCTCACATGAATTATATACCTTATTTAAGTTATAATATTGAATTTCACTTTGTAAAACATATAGTAGGATGAGATTTAAAGATAAATTATAGAAAAAATGAGTTTGTTTCTTTGCAAAATGCTATTAAAATGTATGCAGAGCAAAAAAAATAATAATAATAAAAAGTGAATGATAAATATATGAAGATATTTTAATGATAATTTTAGTTATAAAATTACACACTTGTTCCCAAAAAAAATAGTACTGAATATTAGTGATGGCATCAATAATAATCGCTGGCATTTAAATAAGTTTTAAATTGAAAAATTGTCTAAATTCTATCAAAGATAAACTATATTGCAATATAATTATATAAATTAAATGAATTAAGCCTATTGCATATTAAAAATAAAATGTTAGAATCATTTTATCATAGAACCTTGATAAATAATTTTGCAACTCACAAACATAAAAAAAAATGTAAATTATGAGTTTTATTATATGATACTGGATCTAGACCTCTATAATAATTCCACGTTAGATCTTAAAACTTCCAGACGCAGCCTGCAAATTAATTAATAAGACCCATGAGACTTGAATTGGAACTCTACACCTTATGGGTCAAACCATGTTTGACTACCCATGTGTTTTAACTTGAATATTAAACTTCGGCCATATGATTGTTATTCCAAATAAAGGAACTAATAAAGGACGAAAATCTAATGAATAATATCAATAATGAAATAGCCTGCTCTCTCATGACAAGAGGAATAATTATCCTTAGATTATATGATACAAATTTAAAGTAAATTAGATTTTTTTTGAAATAAGGAAGAAGGTTGATATTTAAAAAAGGGAAAAACATACATTTTGATTCTTATACTTTGCTTATGTTTTATTATAAGTCTCTATACTTTTTTTAATATTTTGAGTTCCTATACTTTTATATTCATTTAAGATCCCTATACTTTGTTCATTTTATTCATTTAAGTACTTATAATGCCAGAAAAAGAAAGTGTATGGACCAAAAACCCCAAAAACAAAGTGTAGGAGCTTATAACAAAACATGAGCAAAGTGCAGAGACTAAAATATATATTTTTTCTTAAAAAAAATTGCAAAAGTTGATGGCACGAAATCAGAAAAATATATTCATGATTCATTTATGTTAATTTTGCATTAACTTTAACAGTTGATTGATAATTATATTATAATTTTATTATGTATAAAGTTTAATCTCCAAATCTCTACTCATATATCATCCTATTTACCACTTAAGTTAAACATTTCCCTTTTATGTCTCATAATATCAACTTCTCACGTGATACATGTGTGCCTATAGTAGTATAAGGTTCTTACAAATTAAATTTAAGAAATTTTATTCATCAATAAAGTGTTCAGATAAGTGACGTCTTTCAGAGAATTTTTTTAAAAAAACGCTCCCATAAATTTTGCTTAAATGCTCCCTTAAATTTTGCTCCTACCTTTAAAAATAAGCGTTCTGATAAGGGCACTTCGGCAAACATTTTTTATAATAATGTCCATTCATATCTCTCCCTATTTTTACTACTCAAGTGCAATGTTTTCTATTTATGATAAGATCACTTTCTCACTCATTACATGTGCGCCCGTAGTAATATATTATGAATTGGGTTCAAAAAGGTTCAAATTGATGGCTACTGTGGTTTTTAGTGGATATGTTAGTTTTAGGGCAGATTTAGCCTAAAAATAGACGAGAGAATCCATGCTTGAGTAGCTACAAGTTATGAATTTGAAAACGAGGGGGAATGAATGAGAATATGTGAAAAAGTGAGGGCCTTAAAGAAAAGGAGAAAAGGGAGGATTGGGAAAAAAACAGCATCAATTATGCATTTAGATATAAAAATAAAATAAATTGATTGATTAATACAAGTTGATAGTAAAACATATATGCGCACCTAGGACGAAATAGCCAAGTCTTCCGTGTTGAAAAGGTAGGCTCCCCCACAGGACCCATTATGTGCACACTTTATCTCAGTGCTCTTCCAAAAGAAGAGAAAAAATATTTATTTTATGGACACAAATTGGAATCTGATTGATGGGTTCTGCCTTTAATCATTCTTCCTCTCTTATTCAGCTTATGCAGAGCAGAACCTAAAACTTCAGCAGCAACCCAAAAAAGAAAATAAAAAACAAAAAAGAAAAAAAAGAATGGTAAACATATTGCTGGTTAGCATCTTGCTTTCCTTGCCCTTTTTAACAGAGGAACTATACCGTAATATGAACAGTCATATCGAATTTTGCAGATACGAATGTTGAAAACAGTAGTGTTATTTAATCCATATAAGCTTGTTAGAAGGAATATAACAATATCTAATATGTTTATTTTACAAACAAAAGCACTGTTATCTTACTCCTTTCCATTTTCTACTAATAAAGTTTAGTCAAGTTCATCACCTTATCTCTCTTTGGTAAAACCCCATGTATCCTTTTGAATTTATTCTTGCTGTTTGTACGAGTAAAGAGGAAAGACTTCCTTGGGAAGCTTGAACTTTATTTCTCCTCTCAACATCAAAATATGAGAGTGGTTCAACTAAAGTATTAAAAACTAAACTGATCATTGAGTATAGATAAAGACACTAGTTCAAATATTAGTGTCAAAACTGTAATTGAATTATATTCAAAATTGATCATGAACAAAACATTTCATTACACCAAATAAGGTATGTTTTAACGATTTATTGATTTGACTGACCAAATTGAGGATTTTAATATTATGGGTTCAGAACAACATGCAGAGCAAATGGACGTGGTTATGTGCTTTGGGAACGAGGAAAAAGTGCTTGTTTTCCTTTCCTTTTCTTTTTTTAATTTTTTTATTTACTATTCTTCAACGGACAGCTACCACATGCAGATTAAAATGAGGGGAGAGAATATAGGACACTGTTTGGTTTGATTTTGGAGGGTTCCTTTACTCACTGCTTGACCATAACTCACACTAAAGCACATGGGGGAGACAAAATCATGCCATTGTCCTAAAATCATTATATGAGAAAAAGAAGGCAAATGAAAATAACCAATTCTATCGTCCATTCATATTTAAAAAGGTGTTTAATTGCAGTTCCATTTATATTTAGTTGCATTCCTGTAGTGGGAAATGACAAACCAACCACACTTGTTTTAAGAATCCAGAGGGAAATCCCCCCCACCCTCATTTATGCAGAAATATAGAATAATACCATGTCCTGTTTGCATATAAATTTGTCCCGGTTAAAAAATTATAACATACTAAATGAAGTAGAAGAAAAAATTCAACCCAAAAGTATACTCACTTGAAATAGACATGACACAACACTACAAATTAATGTAGATGCCTTTTAGCATGTTATTAACAAAAGAACTGCCAGACCTAGAAAGTGATTAGGGTTTGCCACAGTTTTCATGCAAGCCTCATTGTTGGAATGGTGGAAGAGTCATCACTGACACTAGCAAATCTGCAATATTCAGATTTCCAATGCTTTCCATCTTCACATGCCCACAAACACATTATGCACAGAGCATATCTGAAAGCCATATGCAACAAATAGCTCAAAAAAATCAAAAATCTCTGGGGTATGCAGCATGAAGCAGTAGACCCACTTGCTCCATGAGATAGTACATAGACAAAAATGCTGCAAAAAACACTATGATTGCCATGACAGCCAGTACTAGCTAGTCCTTCCTTTAGTTTTGCATATCAAATCTGCATGCACAAACATACGGATATAACGGGCATATCACTATTGAATTACAAAGAACAAAATCCATCCAATATCTGCTAAATATAAAGCTAAAACATTATGCAGTACTGCTGTCTTCTCACTTTTCTGTTTTATTCGTGGCTTGGCGTTTACAACCTTACTTTGTTAAAACTGAAAACCCAAGAGGAATGAGACTTGAAAATTTAAGATAGAACTGGAAGTTGATTTCGCCTGTTTGAATTACTGTTTTGTTTCTTTCTTCTGCATGTAAGATTATTCCTAATAAACACCCTATCGTACACCCGCAGAGTGCTTTCTGCAAACAGAGCATGGCTAGCATGCCATTTTAAATTTTCCCTGTGACTTCTCCGAATTTTAAAGCATCTGAAAATATATTCAAAAAACTTCCTTTCCTCTTCCCACACTCACACACAGGGTCTCTATGAATAAATGGTTAAGAATTTCTAAATAAAAATTTGGGTGATCTTGGTTGTGTTAGAATAACATGAGATAAAAAGAAGGTGGCATCCCACCATCCAAGAGAGGCCTATAAAGGACAGTGGCAAACAGTAAACATCCAAACCTGTCAGCCCCTACTATATATTCATGTGTTCCTCACAACACACTGGGAAATCAAGTTAAAAGGGATTTCTTGACATAACCCCCCCAACCAAAAATCATCACCATCACCACCACCATCACCAAAAGACTGCAAATTCCTCACCTTCTTTAGCCATGCCACAGAACTCCATAGCACCAAAACCAGAATACTGCAGTAGTAGCCCCGTAGAAGAAGGAGCGCAAGAGATGTCAGAGCTCCATAACTCAGCTGTCCTTGCCTACCCCGTACAAACCAATGAACAATCTTTACCCAAACTGAATTTGTACCCGATAACTCTGAAGGTAATACCCTTTCCCAAGACCATATATACTTATAGCAGCACCATGAATATTAATGTTAGTTTCTCTGACACAATTGCGCTAACTCTTTTGGTCTGTGTCCTGTTCTCATTTTACAGTTCGAGGAACTGGTTTACAAAGTTAAACTAGAGCAGAAAGGACTGTGTTGGGGTAGTTCATGGAATTCCAAGGAGAAGACCATATTGAATGGGATTACAGGTATGGTTTGCCCAGGAGAAATACTGGCTATGCTGGGTCCCTCTGGCAGTGGGAAAACCACACTTCTCACAGCTCTTGGAGGCCGTCTCAATGGTAAATTATCTGGGAAGATCACATACAACAATCAGCCCTTCTCAGGTTCCATAAAGAGAAGAACTGGGTTTGTGGCTCAGGACGATGTTCTATACCCTCATCTGACTGTTTTTGAGACTCTATTGTTCACTGCACTTTTGAGGTTGCCTAACAGTTTGACCAGAGATGAAAAAGTCGAGCATGTAGAGCGGGTTATTGTTGAGTTAGGACTGACTCGGTGCAGGGGAAGCATGATAGGAGGTCCACTTTTCAGAGGAATATCAGGTGGAGAGAAAAAGAGGGTAAGCATAGGTCAGGAAATGCTCATCAATCCAAGCCTTTTGCTGCTAGATGAGCCCACCTCAGGTTTGGACTCTACCACAGCTCAGAGGATCCTAAACACGATCAAACGTCTGGCAAGTGGAGGTAGAACTGTTGTGACCACCATACACCAGCCATCTAGTCGTCTCTACTACATGTTTGATAAGGTAGTCTTGCTATCTGAAGGCTGCCCCATCTATAATGGTCCTGCTACTACAGCCTTGGAGTACTTTTCATCCATTGGTTTTTCCACATCCATGACTGTCAATCCAGCCGATCTCTTGCTTGATCTTGCCAATGGTAATGGACAATAATTATTTTTTGATTATTTTTCATTTTAATTTTTTCCCTCATTTGTCTTCATATGCTGCTTCACTCGATGAATATAATGAGACCCCACTCTCAGAACTTCCTGAATTTCACTTTAATAAACTCTACAGGGCATCTCATGACTTGCTTAGACACAGACCCTTAACTTTATTGTTGTGCACAGTCTAGAGAATGAAAATACTAACAACGTCCCAAAAATTTTGGAAAAATGCAGGGATTGCCCCAGACTCCAAAAATGCAGCTGAACAAAGTGAGAGCCTGGAGCAAGAAAGAAAGCTAGTCAGGGAAGCCCTGATTTCTGCGTACGACAAGAACATAGCAACAAGGTTGAAAACTGAGCTTTGCAGCCTGAACGTGAACAACTACAATATCACAAAAGATGCCTCTGCAAGTAGGTCTTTTATCTCTTAACCTTTGTTTTTGAAAAGGTTTTTTTTAAAAAAAAAAAGTTGACTAAATATGAAATTAAAGCTTGTTATTTGTTACCGTCACTAGTCTAAAATACCTCTATTACTTAATTGATACAGAAAGTGACATAAAACCAGAGCAATGGTGCACAAGCTGGTGGTACCAGTTTAAGGTACTACTACAAAGGGGCCTAAGGGAGAGAAGATATGAAGCTTTCAACAGGCTGAGAATTTTCCAAGTCATAAGTGTCGCTTTTCTTGGTGGACTCTTGTGGTGGCATACACCAGAATCACACATTCAAGACCGGGTAAGAGCAGCTTTAAGTTTTTTTTTTTTTTTTTCTCTTATTCAGTTGATGATGAAAAGATCAACTACAAGTATTTCCTTCTCATTTTCATCACAGCATCACACCATTTCATACCGTTTGTCCTATGTTTTGTAAACTATTATTCAAGAGAAAACGTTAAAAGCTATGAACAATAAACAAATATTGTTCAGGCACAACTTTTAATTTAGTGATGATAAGTGCTAATATGGGGCTGTATCTGTAATGCAGGTTGCCTTGATCTTTTTCTTCTCTGTTTTCTGGGGATTCTACCCTCTATACAATGCAGTTTTCACATTTCCTCAAGAAAGAAGAATGCTGATCAAGGAACGGTCATCAGGAATGTACCGCCTTTCATCCTACTTTCTAGCTAGAACAATAGGAGACTTGCCACTGGAGCTGGCTCTTCCAACTGCATTTGTCTTTATACTTTACTGGATGGGAGGGCTTAAACCTCACCCTATGACGTTCATCCTTTCCCTTCTTGTGGTTCTTTACAGTGTTCTTGTCTCGCAAAGTCTTGGCTTAGCATTCGGTGCTATTCTTATGGAGATCAAGCAGGCCACTACCTTAGCTTCTGTCACAACCCTTGTATTTCTCATTGCTGGAGGATACTACGTACAACAGATCCCTCCCTTCATAATGTGGTTCAAGTACTTGAGTTACAGCTACTATTGTTACAAACTTCTTCTTGGTGTTCAGTACAATGACAATGATGTTTATGAGTGCTCAAAGGGTGTCTTCTGTAGGGTTGGAGAATTTCCTCCGATCAAATCAATGGGTTTGAATCATCTGTGGGTTGATGTGGCCATTATGGCTTTGATGTTGGTAGGTTATCGACTTGTTGCTTACATAGCATTGCATAGAGTGAGGTAAAGGAGCTAAGATCTGACCCAGCTCTCATACAAACAGAACTGAACTAGAAGAGTTTTTTTCTTCTTCAACAATTGAGGAATAATACTAGAATTTAGGACTTCTGATGCAACTCATGTAATGGAATTTTGATCAACTCTTCCTGAGTTGGATTTATCAAACTTTTTCTTACTGTTGTAGGAAATACTAACTCCCAAGTTGTTCTTTAGAATAAATTTATATAGTCTCATTCGCAAGGGATATGCCACTTGATAAGAAGCGACAAGATAAACCCATGTTGGTCAGCTGAAGGTCAAAGATGGCTGCCAGACATCAAAACCCAGTAACCTCTAAGGGAATCAATTGTAACCACAAATGTTGTCGTTTCATATCTCCCTGCATAATTTGCCACATCTAGAAGACTGATTGGCCCAAGGGCATTATTAGTTACATAAAAAGGAAATAAAGCTTATTCAGTGAAAAATATCCAACAGTTTCATTCAATTTGTCACTCAAAAGCTCAAAAGTGTGGTTCCTTTATGAAGTGATGGAGCATGAGCAAATCCATTAAAATCATGCCAAACGAGTGAAATTCATTCCCCCAATAATGCAAAGATGAAGGCAGGATTAGAACCATATTAAGCTTAGTTTAGTGCTCATCATAAAGAGTCAGAATGAAATTGTTGGTACTACTAGAAAGTGGGTTGATGGCCACGGGCCCAGGGTACATATCTAGCAGGAAATCAATGAAATCAGGCTGATTCTTCATGCAAATATGAAATGACACCTAAAAGATCCGTGTCACACTCTACTTGAGCATAGTGCATTATCCAGTATCCACTCCATATCACTTCGAAAGTTAACATAGAAAACGACTGCATATAAACCCGCATTGCAGTAAAATTTTCAAGCAGGTACACTTTAGGGTATAAGAATAATTTCGTGCGGCTTATATAGTAATTCTTAGGGCACTATATCAATGAAATTGGCAAGATTTGGAGGAGGAAACAGAAATTTTGGAAGCATTGGTAAATCAAAGATGGCAGCTTTTTTGGCTGTTTGGGTGAATTCTATTGAAATCGATTATTCTGCCTCAAAATCGATTAACTGCTCTATCCAAACAGGCACTTAATTTGAAACATTTCTATTGTGGACGGATCCATCAAACCTTGAATACACTCATGTAACCCTAGTTGTTCATTTTCATCAGAAGTGTTAGGTATGCGAATTAGCAACCCATGAACTTGCATTCTTTCTGCGCAGACAGCAAAATGGTAACAGATAGGCTATTTTGTACATAATAGAAGTCTAACTAATCCATGACAAGGCTTTTTATCCAAGAGATGCTCCAGTAACCAACAAAAATTTAATCAAATGAATATTTTGAAGCATATGGAAAAAGCCTTCAGAACGCTTACGTCCGGAAGCAAAAAGGAGCCAGTTCTAGAAACCCACGAAAGAAAAAGAAATTAACTGGAAGCCTTGCAATAACAATCGGTAGAGTGGAAGCTGATAACTTCGTGGTCCACTTTGGCATCCACATTGCTTAAGCATCACAAGTGGAAGAATCCCTTCACATGTAAGTGTTTTGCAGCCATGGCCACTGTTCAACTAAAGTCCGCCTATAGCCAGCGATATGTGGAACTAATTAACCCAACGACCAATCTTAGAGAGAGAGAAAGCCTAGTATAATGATGTGAATAACCAACTTTAGTAGTTCTAGTAATTGCTAAATAGAATGTTATGCAAATATCATTAGATTTTCACCGCCTAGTGTGTGTACGTTTCTAAACACTCCTTCTGATTTCTGCTTTTTCTACAAAAAGAATCAAATCGATTCGCCTATGAGCAGAAATTCATATCCCAGTAGTAGTCAGTCAGTTACTTCTCCATTAGAAGATTGACTAAAAATTCTCTCTGTTTTCAACACCATAGGTACAATGTATGATCAAAATAGAGGAAGATAATTTACATGCGGAAGAACCATAATATTCCGCAATATAACTTGTTAACTAACAAGCATTCATTTAATCAAGGACACCGGCCAACGAACGGATCAAAAGATAAACTAACAGAAGGATTCGGGATTTGGTCAAGGAACCAGATACGAGGCGGCCTGGGCTAAAAGTGTCACAGAAAATCATTCTAGTTCATAGGTTTTGGAAATTTCCAAGCCGTAGGAGAAACACCTCAAAGATTGCACACGTGAGTGGGACCAAAAGATTTCCTTAGAAAGACAGGCTTCTTCTTGAGCTTGGTATGTCGAACAAAGACTGATGCCACGTTTGCAGCACGTTGCAATTATCCCAAGTGTCGGCAGTAAACAATACCGAAAGCTACAAGAAATTCGCATAGGGATGCATCATCGGCCATATCACGATCATGAACAAAGCCTCTTTGTGCCGTAATATGCTCTTTGATTCTTGTGATCGATAAA